GACCAAAAATCAAATTCTTAGGTTTTACATATAAGTATACTCTGACATTGCAGTTTTTGTATTTTTTCTCATAAATGAGATATTTTCCCGCGGTAAAAAGTATCCTATATGTTGACCCGGATAACCAGCTATCATCATCCAATCCATATCAAAATCTGTCCAGTGGTTTTCTCGTGATGTGGTAACAGACAGACAGACAGACAAAAATTCTGAAAACTATAGATTCGGACTCTGTATAGATAATAATGTCTATTTCAATTAGATTTTCCAAAAAATATTTAATGTACAGAGTCGACTTAGATACAATTTTATTATATGTATAGATTTATTATTTTTATAAAAAAACATATGGCATTGTAATATTGTCTATGTAGCTAACATAAAATTAAACTTAATAGGTTATTTCGATTTAACCTACCTATCCTAATCTAGACAGATGACCTCATATTTAATCGTGGATAAATAAGGCACGTTTTGTGGTCTTGTAACATATTAAACCGACGAAGAAAATGACTTGAGCAGTCGAATGAATATAATTACTTTACCTAATAGGGGTAAATAAATACTATATGCATAGTTCACTATAGTATAAAATATTAACCAATACACTTCAAATCATAACATAACAAGCATTTAATAAATATTTGAAACACTTTGTTATATTTAAATTGATAAATAGGAACTTTTACAGACACAGATGTTAGAGTAAACGTTTTTTTGGCAACTTACAATTTTTAAAATATATTTTGTGTCTTTTTTTATATTATATAATTTGTTTTTTTTTCTAGTAAGGTACATTATAGACATTTACGTGATGTTATTTCATATTTCTTTAATACAAATTAATTGATCTCCAAAGAGTTAGTTAGTAGTTAGTAGTTGAGTTCTTAAAATAACAAAATAGTGGTAGGAAAATGCACAATGCGGACCTTATCGCTAAAACAGCGATTTGTTCCAGGCAACCTTTAGGTGTAGGAAATAGCAAAGTGTAAAGTGGAAGGGGTGTGAACAAATAACAGAGTTAGAACAAATAAAAATACATATTATCTATCCATATATACATACTAGCGACTCAATCTCGCTTCGCTCGGGTTCGTCCCTAGCTTAATTCCCCAAACAAACTTTCATCCCCATTTTCGCACCCTTGAGAGATGATTTCCGGGATAAAAAGTATCCTATGTCCTTTCCAGGGTCTAGAACTATTTTCTTATCAAGTTTCATCTAAATCGGTTCAGTAGATCCAGAGATTACACCCTACAACGTCACAAACTCACAATCTCACAAACTCACAAACTTTACCTCTTTAAAATATTAGTATAGAAGATATATGATACTAAACTAACTAGCTACCTAATAATATGAAACTATTACCCCACAATGACAGTCATACATCATCACAGTTTTTACATTTTGCATTTATATTAAATAATTTTTAAGGTTGTTAAATAAACATTAGTTTTAAGGATTTGGAGGATTGAATCTCCATCAAGAATAATCTTCAAATTAATTAACATAATCCAAGCTCGTAGCAAATCTACAATATTCCCATGATAATAAACGTCCTTTGTAGTGGATGACGTTAAAAAATAACTTTTTTATTAGTATATACTTTAATCGTAGGAATAAGAGCTCTATGTACGTATTTTCTATGTAGAGACACGTGTTCTAGCTCGCATACCTTTTCTCATAGATACATAACTGTGTAAGTTGTCATCGTTCATTACTCAACGTTGTTAATATAGTGCCTAGAGTTTACGACAGTTTTTTTCCGTATATCCGATGTATTATAATCAATTTTTCCCATTTGCACTAAGCAAGTATAAAATGTAACTATAATAACACCCCGGTTTTGTCTGAGTCGATCCGAGTTATATATAGTCACTTATAGTTAGTTTTACAATAATTCTATTTAGTTTAATTTTAAGTTTCTACAAACATATTTTTTCATAGATTTTTTTTGTCAATTACATATAAATTTTACAAGGCAACTTATTTCATTATAGAAATTTGGTTACATTTTTAGGAAAATTATGAGAAATAAACTAATGAATTATGTAATATAATATATTGAAAATTATTATACGTAGTCCCACTGTAAAACTAATCATAATATAAGGCTTGTATTGCTATTTTATTAAACAAATTATACACACTTTAAGTTCGACCCACGTACGTACTAATTCAGGTAATAAAGTGCAAAATTCGTAGACTTTACACAAAATTACTGAGAAAATATAATAATTATTTACATAATAGCTTTGCAATACTCTTGCAATTATTGGTTTTGTTAATAATTTTATAATTAACTTTTTGGTTATAATTTTAATGATACCACCTTATTGTGTGTACATTTTTTTAATGAATAGGGTGTATTTCAAGAAGTTATCATCTTACCCCTATACTGTGGAATAACTATGTAATATTATAATTTTTTTGTTTAAATTTAAATAAGACCACTCATGAAAGACTATCTAATTATAAATAACAGAATAATTTAAACATACAAAAATCTTACATTTAAATTGAAAACCTTCTTTGAATTTACTAATATATTTTAAAAATTATATAATAATACATTAATTTTTTACTTTAAAATTTAAAGGAACAAGTTCAAACTTTATGAATAACGTGGAGTAATGCAGTGTATAAGTATCCAGAACAAGGCTGAGTGCCAAATGTAGCCTATACGAACACTTTATATTCGAGTTGCATATTATAACGGTGCTTTACTATACAGAGTCTAGCTGACCATCGATGCTCAAAAAATAATTATTGTTATTATCAAAGGTATATTTTATATTGGTAATACGAGCGACATGCCCTCTTACCCTAATTCTGTTTCTAAAGTAAAAATAGCCTAAGTTACGCCTTTTAACATCAGCTATTTGACAGTGAAAGTCCCGCTAAAATCGGTCCAGCCGTTTCAGAGATTATCCGGAACAAACAGACAGATAGGCAGACAGAAATAAAAATAATGTTTTCAACCGACTTCAAAAAGGAGGAGGTTCTCAATTCGACTGTATTTTTTTTTTTTATGTTTGTTACCTCAGAACTCCGTCATTTATTAACCGATTTGGACAATTCTTGTTTTGTTTGAAAGGGTATACTTCCAGATTGGTCCCATTTAAATTTCAAAAAAAAATACCACCCCTAAGAGTGGAAAAACAACTAATAATGAATTTTACCTACTTCTAATTGTCATATTGACTTGAAACTTTGCAAGTATTTCTATTTCCGTTGATAGTACAGTGGTTCGGTGTTGTTGACCTGATCTGATGGCAAGGCCAGAAGGTGGATAGGTGGAACTCTTCAACGGCTAATAGTAGATACTTTGAGTTTGGGCTTATTTTGTTTGATTTGACAAACCTAACACGTTAGAATTCTTACTTTGCTACTACTGTCTACACTAAAAAGGGAAAAATAAAAACTTTTTAACAAAAAAATAAAAACCGACTTCAAACAAAAGCACTAAAAAGTAAAAAATAACTGATTGGTAGTTTTCATTTACTATACATACCTAATCAAATATTTTCGAAGTCGGTGTGCTTTGGCTAAGTAATTAAAGCCTTCCTATTAAATACATACCTAATCAAATATTTTCGAAATCGGTGCCAGCCCATACAAAGCAAAGCACACCGACTTCGAAAATATTTGATTAGGTATGTATAGTAAATGAAAACTACCAATCAGTTATTTTTTACTTTTTAGTGCTTTTGTTTGAAGTCGGTTTTTATTTTTTTGTTAAAAAGTTTTTATTTTTTCTTATAAGTATAATATTATATGTATAATTTCACAATATTTATTGAGTAAAATGCTTTAATTTTGACTGTACAAACAGACTCTACAATTTTATTCATTTGTATAGATCATATTAGTATTATATAAAAAAACAATTAAATGTATAGCTGGATTGTTTAAATTATAATTAAAATTTATGTATTATATTTTTTATTTAATTAGGTATATATGATTTAATTATATTTATAGCAATTAAATTTTACTGATATAACTTTTAAATTACATTGTAATATCTTACTCTTTTACGGTACTATAAACATAATGTGTTAAATATGTAATATTTAATCAATATTTATTATTTCAGGTTGTTGCATAAGTGTATACGTATTTGTTAGTTTGTCCATTTCTATACTGTAACGTAGTAAGGGAGTAATATGATTTTTGTTATAAAGCTAGATTATATGTTAGATATTATCTTATTTATGTATTAGTTACCTTTGACCTATTTTAAGGAAAGCTACACTTGTTATAAATGATGCTTTTTGAGTGTATGTTTCGAGATATTCGACGATTATAAATTGATTTCCGTAATTCTTTTTAAATGCAAAGTTATATTTTTGAACATCAAAGTGGCTACTAATATTAATTTACAAAAAAACAATTCATATGTACAAATCAGAACAATTTTGTTTCTAAGTTTCTTCACACTCGTATAAAAGCATATATTTAAATATATTGTAATTCGTTGTTGAAATAACCGCTTTGCTAGAACTAAGCAGCTGTTTGTAACAAAACTATAACAATTTGCAACTTTAGTTACTTAAATTTCCTAATTGAATCTAGAACGATAAAATTCATTCTTTATTTTAACCTTTTTTTAACAATTAGATTATATCACAAAATTTTAACTTTTGTGAATTTATATTAACTTATTTACGAAATTATATATAAATATTTTTTATTAACTTATCTACGAAAGAACATTTTTATATGACCATTCACAATTACAAAAGACAATTACAACAATGCATTCATGTCTGTACCTTTCTCTTTCGCTCGTATGACTTCATTTGTTTGTTAGAGGGAGATTTCCTAACAGTTTAACAATTAAGTTGCCTCTAATGATTGGATATAAGGCTAAAACTTGAAATTTTTATGTTAATAAGATTGCGATGTAACTATGTTCTAATTATTTCATTAGTTAAGTGTGGTTGCGGATTGTGAGTGGTCGTGCTGTGATTGTTGTAAATAATAGATTAAAAATGGATTTGCGCAATCATAAGTTGTTCAGGCTGCGGAATAAGACGAACTTGTCAAGGTCCTCGTCGATATCTACACCGAGGTATGTTGAGAGAGAAAGTTACGTTTTTTGCGATTACGTTCACGCTTCATGTACTTTTATATAAAATTCTTTGTGTGTGGTTGTTGATTTCTATATGATTTTCTAAATTTTTTAACACCTTCAGAGGTAAATTTCTAAGAAATTAATTGAAATTCTAAGAAATCTATTGTTAACTGACACGCCGGCGTGTCTGCGGTCGTGGAGGGATTATGTATACTTTGTAATATTGATCTGTCATTTGATAATTGTTGTTAAAACGGAAACAAGAAATTCGTTTTGAAAGTACAAGCTTTAACTGCTGATATTTTAAGCTTATACATATTTAAATTGTATATAAATATGTGCGATAAAAATAGCCTGATACAGTATTTTGCATCACACTCGTAAACCATCCATCTAAGTGATATGTCTCTCCAACAGTCTGTTTCGCCTATAAATAAATATACAATTCACCTTCGACTTACAATAGAGTTGCCTGTTCTACATTTCGATATAGTCAGGAATGTCCATCAGCTATCAACTTTGCGATTGGGTTGTCTTTGAAAGATTTATTCGTTAAAAACTATTTTTAACGCTTATAAATAAAAATGAGGTTATTTTGAATTCTCGTCTTGGTACAGTTACGACAGAAAAATAAAATAAATATTTAATATTGTGTTGGACGTAGGAGAAAATCTCTATCACAGCAATATATGTTTAATTTAATTTATTATTAATATTTAGTTCGATTGTTTCGGAAATCAGTCGTTTTTCAAGTATTTATTGCATACATGGATTGATCGTTTTGACGTCTCGACTTGTTGGGTATTAATTTAGCTCGTACTTGTGTATGTATGTATGTATGTATGTATGTATGTATGTATGTATGTATGTATGTATGTATGTATGTATGTATGTATGTATGTATGTATGTATGTATGTATGTATGTATGTATGTATGTCTGACTCTGATCGTAAGCTGTTATATTATATGATTAACTTTTTCCTATATGATTTTCGTTGGTTAACTAAATAATATATGTATATGAATTTTCGAACTGTATACGCAAACTGGTTAATGCATATGGTTTTGCTTGCGTAGTACGGACGAGATGGAGTTGAAAAGATCATCTGTGTTAATCTATGGTATAAAATATCTCCGTCTTGGTTTTCACTCAAATCTATTAAGCTACTATACTCACTTATTAACAAACTTTCACATATAATAATAGGAGTGTGAGTTGGATAATGATTATAGATTGTCTTTGTCGTGGTTCTAGCTTGATTGCCCATACAAACTTTCATCGCCATTTTCACTCACTTAAGGGATGATTTTCGGGATAAAAAAGCATTTTGTGTCCTTCCTAGAGTCTCAAACTATCTTCTAAATTCCAAATTTCATCTAAATCGGTTCAGTAGATCCAGATATTACCCCCTATAACGCGCGTCACAAAGTCATAAACTCACAAACTTTACCTCTTTATACTATTAGTATAGATGAAACTACTAATTAATTGATTGAAAATATTTTCTATCAAACAAATCTACAATTGCAGATTTTAGTACCCCAATATTAAATCGATGTATCACGCGAGAGAAACCAAAGACGCAAACTAGTTTCAAATAAAGAAAGTAAAAATTCCGAATAAATATATTATGTCATAATAGTCTAGTTTTACAAAAATAGAGTTTACAAATATTACGTTAGTAGAGAATTTGCTTAATTAAAATATTTAAATAATCTTACTCTATATAAAAACTAAATAGCTTCATTATGAAAATCACGTGTAAGAATATCACGCAAACATTTTTGTTCTTAATCTATTCTATACTAAAACTGTAGAGGTCGAATGTCTGTACATAGAAAAATAAAGCTAAAACCTAGTTAGGGGGATGTACAAAGAGAAATAGAACAAATCCAGTTTTTTTCATATTTTTCGTTTTACTGTCTGTTTGTACGGCCTAATATCTGAAACTATTGGACCGATTTACATGAAATTTTGCATGGTGATACTTTATATCTCCGGTCAATATTTTAGATACTCTTCATCCCGGAAAATTAAGCGAGTTCCCGTGGGATAGTTAAAAAACTACAGTAACTTATCCCCCCCAACGTGCGTTCACCTTGTCGTGGTGGGGGGGCTCAGTAGTAGTAGCGAAGCTAAGAAACGCACAGGGAGGTTGCCCACTTCGGTGGGCGGTGGGAGGTGGCCCTCCTCGGGGGGCGGTGTACCATGCGGGTTGCTCCTGGTACTTCTCTGATAGCAGAGTGGACCTTGGAGCAACCCCATGGTTGTGGTGGTCTGCTTTGGCAGACCTGCCGTCGGGGCGTCGTAGTTGAATGCGTAAGCGATCCTGCGACGCCCCATTAAGACGGGGGAAGGTTTTGTTGGGTTTTAGTGGGTAGTACTGGCTGTATTACGCCGGTGAGTCCCACACGTCGTGCGTAAATGCATTTCCCAACGTTAAAAAAAAAAACTACAGTAACTTATACGCTTAGTACACAACAACTTATGCACCTAATTTAGTAAAATTTGGCATGCTGATCGACCTTATATTGCCGGTCAAACAACAGGTTAACTTTTATCCCGGAAAAATGAACGGTTCCCGTGGGATAGATCTGTATGTGCTTTTTTAGAGGCGTACCCGAGCGAAGCGAGGCTGGGCCGATAGTCACATATATTACAAGCGCTAGGTAATGTAGAACTGCAATTATAACTATTATACTTATTTAAATAAGATAAAAGATGACTACAGCATCCTTGATATACTTTAAGAACAATAGACTTATTTAATGTAATTAATTATAAGATCGTATGCGGATATATAATGAAAAATCAGCCACATGGTTGTTTAGAAGCAATCAAATAACTGTTATGTTTTAAATCGTTGATTATAAATTGAATTTTCAAATAAATTAATGATACAATCTATACTATTTTTATTAAAATTTATTTTTAGGAATTGAGCTTTCAAGAGGCAACGTGCTACAATCGCTGCGCTTACGCAAGCCAAACATTAGCAGAATAGACGTTTAACGTTTATACATAGTTTTGGTGAAAGTCTTTGTGACCGATATTATACTAGATTAATTCCGATGCTGTTTCCGCAAAATTATATAATTTTATTGTTTATGATTATTTTGATCGTTATGAGATTTAAGAAAAAAAGTATAATTTTTGCGATATAATAGATTTTTCTTGTTAAAAACTCTTGCTTTCGAGTTTTTAACAAGAAAAATCTATTATATCGCAAACATTATAATTTTTTTTAAATCTCATAACGATCAAAATGAAATGAAATGTTAATTACACTTGTTTCATTTAGAAAAGAAAACAGTAAATTTTGCTATATATTAATAAAATTAATATATTTTGTACCATTTTTCTAACGATGCTTCGTTTAGGTACTTATAAGGCACGATAATAATTGATGTACAAAATAAATGCTACATTTAAAACTATTTCTATATAAAAATTACAACGACTTGTTACTTTTTTACCGTCTGAAAGAAATATTAACATTCAAACTGACTTTTGCATTAATAATACTAGAAACGAATGTATACAAAAAATCGGTCAAGTGCAAGTCGGACTTGCACACAAAGGATTCCGTACCATAATCAATTTTTTTTATTTGCATAGCAGCCTTTTTGAAATTCGCCATCGTGGTTTTTTATTATTTGTTGTTATAACGGCAATAGAAATACATACTTTGTGAAAATTTCAATTCTCTACACATTACGGTTCAGATACAATCCTATGACAGACGAACGGACAGAGGAGGATTAGTAATATGGTTCCTTCGTGTATGGAACCCTAAAAATTATGACAACCTGAGTTAATGCACATATATGGATGTATAGTTGATGAATCAACGGACATCTAGATATGTCGTTTAAGATAACAGCGTTATTATTGATTTTTTACTGACATGTGCTAGAATTCTAAAAATCTACTTACCTCATATTTGTGTGAGACAAAGACCACAATAGGCACTAACTTGTGCTAAATCGTACCTAGATATCTAACCTTGTATATAATCTGTGTTTTCTCACGTCTATACATACTTTACATTTTATACTGCACTCAGCCTTTTTTAGTTAAAACTACTTCATAATAAAATTTTAAGAACTCTATTACTGTATAAATAACAGCTATAATAAGAAAATGAATATATATTTACGTATTTAATGCCAAATGCATTTGAATTCATTTGAAATCTGTTCATGTACTTGGTATTATTGCCCGTCTATGTACTTTGTAAACAGTTCACAACTCGTTTTTACAAGATTATTTGTAGACTTTACTTTTAAAGAATTATTATACGACTATAATTCTTTAGAATTTTGTCTGCCTTCCATTTTAAACACTTTTTCTTTCTCTTATTTTTTTAACTTCCTTAAAACAGACTATATTTCGTTGTATTTTCCGCTAGTAGTAAGTTTTCCTGACCAATATGACTACGGCGGTCAAACTTACTAAGGTAAAGCACCTATCTGCACAGTATTTATTATAGTGCACAGGTGTGTGCAGAACAAGTGCACTCTGTATTTCTGTTACTCTCAAAGTTCGATTGAATTCAACACGAGATGAGGCGTAGGACACATAGTATAAACCCCTGACGACGGCGTAACCCCTTAAGTTTTCTAAACCTAGACTGCTACTGAAAATGTCTTAACTGAACACCCAATAGTTAAACTTGGCCAGTTAGACCAACGTGACAGTTGTTAAGTCGGTAGTGCTAATAAGATATGCTTATTATGCACTTAATAGATTCTTTAAAAATATAGAGATAACAAAAGCTTCAAACTACCCAATATTACATTAATATTAAGAGGAAACAATTATAATTATCATTTTTATATATATGGAGGTAGGTAAATAAGACAAAGGAAACTGTAACAATTAATTTATATTACTGTAGTTATTATCATCACAAAATATCACAAAATAGTTTAGAATAACCAAAGAAAATATATCAGCAAAAATACTATAAATAGAAACCTTATACTTTAAACA